GAGGTTTCGGCCCTTTTCGTAGTTGGAAGGGACAGCTCGCCTATAATTGCTATCGGTATGATCGGCTTGCTTGTGGGCAGGACTACTAGGTGAACAGCGATGATTGAAACGCGTCCCGTCCTACGTCAACGAGTCCATGACTAGGACGCCAACATGGTGCGATAATCTTGTGATATAGCCGTTGGGGTTTCGGAGTCCTTTGTCTGGTTTGTGTTTATTGTAATGACTCATTTTTCACAGCTACCTCAGTGAGTGGGAACTTGAGTAGTTGTCCGACTTCTGTTCAACGTTGGCGAGGCAGTTAGCGCGCATCATCATTGCCATGAGGAGCACAGCGAGCTTAGAGCGTGTACATGTCTTTGGAAATGAGCTGGACGCATCCAAGATCGCACTGCCTATACGATGGCTTGGCTGAGACCAGAGGCTGCCACGTATTTGCACGTTTTATCCGGATTCTCCGGATAAAAAGACATGGCCGCGCACGCTGTGTACGTGGCCCACGCGGACCTCGTGGGCGCCGCCGTCGTGCTCCGCCAAACGAACATGAGCTTTCTCCGAGGAGCGCTCTTTAGCTTGGACCCGGAGAACGGCGTCGCTGTCCTCCTCACGCTCGACGACGAGGCGACGGCTGTGCAGAGCCGGGCCGTCATGGGCCATGCCATCGCTGCCATCGAAGAAGACGCGGACGGTGGCGTCGACATTGCCGCGTTGCGTGCGTGGGTGGATGCGCGCGGGCAAAGCAAGCGCTTCGAGTTGCACGAGGCAGCATTGCCTGCGTTGCAGGCCTTCCTTACCAGCGTACGAGCGTGTTCGTTGTTATTTTGGATGCGAATGCACTCATACGACTACGCTGCGTAGCGCTGCATCGAGACGACGATGGGCGCCGAGAACCAACTGCTTGTCTTTGGCGGCGCTGCGACGATATCACCGCCGTACGACGCGTACGCTATCAGTTGCCAAAACGACTTTGTCGCGCAGCGCCTCAAGGGGCTCCTGCACGAGTGGGAAGCAACCACGTAAACCAACATGCACCATGTACCGTACTTGTCAAAACGACGCTTCAAAGGTGGCGTGCGACCGTTGGGTACTTGATGGTCAGTGCATGAGGTGGCTCTGCCTGTCGACACCGATCCATTTTCAAGGTTGGTATCGAAACTGAACAATAGAAGTCGACAAGAGGTCGTTCTTTCGGGTGTCTATATACTTCAATCACTAGAATCTATATGTACTTGAAGATTCCGGAAGGTCGTTGCGCGAAACTCTCAAGGACAAGTTGGTGCGATGCTGAATGAAGGTGCAGGAAATTCACTCGCCAAATTTCACATTGTGTGTAGCCAATCAGCGTCGAGAACGAGTGGAAACAAATTTAATGCGGGCGATCGCGGGCTTGGGAATCCTTGAACCAGCTCCTGGAACCAAGGAGCTTGGCTTCGATAGATACGAGCGAGAACACGAGCTCGTCCACCGGTGCATACGACTGTCAAGTCGTTGTGCTGCAGGTCCTTCGCCAAAGCGAGTGGCGGCGCAATGTGGGACATGGTCGGCGCTCGATTATTGGCTCCTTATCCGGACGGTATCTTTGCCAACGGGCTGGTCCAAGCAGCCACCGCCGAGAAGACTCGGAAGCACCTGGAGAGTTTGTGATCTCTAGACAAAGCACCAGCTCTGTGTATATAGTCGTCAGATCTTATAGGTTAGCTTGCCCACTACTAGGACAAAAGCAGCACCTCCAAAACGCCCTTTCCCGTCGTCCCTGGGACACGGCACCGAACTGGGCGCCACGCCCGACTTGAGGGAAAAACCCGCTTCAGATCGCGTTGGGCCCGACAACAATACAATTCGTAAGTTGACGCATTATCTTTCGATTTGTATGGAGAGCGGCAAAAACGGTATTTAATTACAATGATGGTCGCAGCTGTATTTTTGGAGAAGCGGTCATTTGGATTTGCGCTCGATGACGATCAACAACGACGACCTCCGCGCACTGACGCCAGCCGACGCCTTCGACTACTTCACCTACGGCGAATGGACCATCTCGCCCATGGAGATCCAGCGCACGTACTGCCTCCAGGCCAACGACGACGACGGCCTCGGGCCTGGGCTCTGGGTGCTGCGGAAGATCGCCGACGTCGGCCAGCCCCCGATCAAGGCCAGCCCGATGGCGTCCAGCGAGTACGCCGAAGTCGAGATCGCGACGCGTATCTCGCATGCGCCACGCCCGTGCACTGCTAGCGCGGTGCCCGTCGCCGTATCGCCGAGCGCCGTCGATGTGTCGAGCGACAACGGCTACGAATTTGGCGACGAGGCTGGCATGGAAGACGATGCGGAAGCGAATATGGAGCTCAATGACGCAGCGCCGGCGCCTTTGTTTGCGACGTCACCACCTGCTCCGACGGTGGCCGCGTCAATCCAGTCGACGCCTGTCAAGGTTACCCTGCCCCCGCGCACGACTGGCATCTCGCCCACGCAGGCCAGCAGCAAGATGGCCGTGCGTCGCCCCAACAAGCGACCTCTCGACCCTTCCACGTCATTGCAGCTGCTTCCATCGACCCCGCTGGAGATTGATGACGACATGCTGACCGTCGAAGTGGCGCGTGCGCACGTGGGGCCGCTCGTGCACTCGCCGCTCGATCTCGAGAGCGATTTTACAGCGACAACGAAATCGACGACGCCTCTCTGGACCCGCTTGCGCTCGGGCTTTGACAGCATGCTTACCGACGGGTGGAGCTGCCCTGCGCCTTTGACGACCGTCGACGAAGATGCCATGTACTACGACATGGAGGACTTCCACGACTCGCCCCTCGACGTGACAGTGGCCCTCGCGACAACGTCTGTGCCCGATGCTCCAGTGGCCAAGGCTCGTAAGCGACGAAAGACCGCCGCGACGCCGACGCCGACGCCGCGACGCATGACGCGCAGCCAGACAAAGCTCAAGCTGGAGCGCCAGGGCATTTCTGAAGCCAACATGCTCGAGCACCCCCGCAATTCGGTCGACCCGCCGCGCCAATGGCAACGGTGGCAGTCGTGCGGCCATCTCCACAGCACGGGTAGCGCGTGTTGTGATCACCACCACCAATAGTTGGCTGGTCGTCAACTACTAAACTTATGTAATCGAAGGAAATGTACAGTATCTATGGTGAAGCACTGGAACCAACCTTGCAGAGCAATGCATGAGGGCTGCTGTCCAGAAGGTGCGTACTGGCCAATTGAGGAATAGACTAGACATATAGTGGGAGGGCCACGACTCATTAGTAGGGAAATTCAGCTAGTGGCTCCACGGAAATCACCCCGATCTGCCTTACAGAGAAGTATAACTCAGTGGTATCATACTCTGTGTTTGCATCACGTCTATTTTGTGAAATGTAAAATTTCACAGGTAAGACTTTACCTACTAATGAGTTAATTAACGTCAAGCTAGCCGCGATCACTACACTCGCTAGAAAATCCACATTTTTGTCTTTTGCATCAACTTGTCCAATTTTGCCATTGACGAATCTGTGCGCTGCAGGACCGCATGTCCCACATCGGCCCTTCACATTCCGGATAAAACGAACCTCGTATCCGGTTGACCCCGCCGCTTGCCATCAAATTGCAACTGCGGCCATGTCCTTCTTCGAAGCCAAAGTCAAGAAGCCGATCGTTGACCTGCTCACGTCGGGCGGTAGATGCGAATAGCGTCGTCGCCGCTGCCTCATGGCTCATCCTCGTTCTACCTAGCCTCGCCCCATAGCCTTGCGCTCTCGATGGCCTTTGGCGTGACCTGCGGTGGGCCATCGTCCGAGCGGCCACGGCCTCATGGGCGATGTAGGTATCTTTCCGATTCCGGGCGTGACGAGTGTCCCGGTCGTCGCCGCCGTCTTCCTCTTTGGGCTCAACCCGGTTGCGGCGATGCTCATGAACTACCTCTGCACGCCGCTCAACATTGCGTCCGTGCCCGTCTTTGTGTACGTTCCATCGTCTTGCTTCCTTGCGTGTCTGAGTCACGGCTCGTAGGGCGTATGGCGGCCAGTTCTTTGGCGATGGCGCAGAGGACTTTTCCGTCTCGACGCTACTCCAAGTACGCACTGCTACTGTGATGGACGTGCGCCAACACTGGCCGTAGGGACTCCAAGACGATACGCTGGCGACGCTCGGGCAGTTCCAGTATGTGCTGCTGCACGCCATCTACATGTGGCTCGTCTTTCTGCCGGTCGGAACGCTTGCGATCTACCTCGTGCTCTACCCGATCCTCAAGGTCAGCATTGGCAGTGCGACCAAGCCGACAAAGGCCAAGACGACCTAAGATCTACGACCGACGCCACGTCTTCTCCAAGAGCTTCCGCTATCAGAAGACAATATTGTGTATTGACCCTTGCCACGAGTAAGACCAAGGATAATGCACGCCCTGAGGATGCAACCGGAGAGGAATTTAGAGCGGTTTAGATGCCCATGCCCACGGGGCTGTACCGCTCCTTCTTCTTCTCGGGCGTAAAGAGCTCGTCAATGTCTTCGAGCGAGACGCCGCGGGTCTCTGGCAAGGCTCGGTACACGTAGATGGCACCGAGGATCGCGACGCCGCAGTAGATCCAAAACGTAATGTACGTCGTAGTGCCTTCGATGAGCGAGAGGAATGTGAACGAAATGATGAGGTTGGAGATCCAGTTGACGGACGTCGACATGCTCATGGCCATGCCGCGCATCGCGAGCGGGTAAATCTCGGCGTTGATCGTCCACGGCATCGAGCCTAGTGGGATAGTTTGGCATGAACACTGCAAATAACAAGACGGCATTACCCATGCCCGACGCAAAGCACGCAAGGTACACAAAGAGCGCGATGAGAATCAGAATGCCGTGCGTCTTGGAGCTCGATGCGTCCGGGCACGACCCGTACGCCCACGACCCGCACGTCAAGGGTGACGTCGGACCGACGTCGTCGCCGGGCACGCAGCGCGCGGGGCCAAATGCCGACGCGCAAAAGCCGCAGTGGGTGTTGGCCGCGCAGTCAAAGCAGGTCGTAATGTGACTGCAGACACCGACACCGTCCACTGTCGTGGACGCGGCCTCGGCAAAGTAAAACGTGAGGCCAAGGAAGAAGAGCGAGACGACGACGCCCGCCAGACTCAGCAGCGTGAGCGGTCGGCGGCCCATGCTACAGACGTATAGAATTTGCATGAGACGAGTCCTTGTAGATTGTGAAGTGGGTACCGGTCAACGAGGTAAATACCGACAAACGTGAAGAGAAAGTTGCTAAAGGCGACGATCGCGCCGAGCCAAACGGCGGTTTGGTTGTTGGAAAACCCAGCCATGCGGATGATGCTCACGCCGTAGTACATGACCGTGTTGATACCGCAGAATTGCTGCAGCGCCTATTTGTCAAGAAGAAGCATGAGAAGTCGACGACCAAAGGACTTTAGACGGGATACCTGGAGCGAGCAGCCAAGGATGAGCGCTCGGCGCACCGAATCGGTACGGTACAGTTCGTGCCACGACCCGCGGCCTTCTTCGCGCTTGACTTCGGCTTCAATGCGGTTGAGTTCGCGCGTCAACAAGCCTTCTTGGTCGGCATCTTCGCCGCGAATGGCTGTGATGGCGAGCTCGGCTTCTTCCATGCGCCCCTTGGAGATGAGCCAGCGCGGGCTCTCTACAGGAGGGGTGAGCGGATGATGCTACAAACAATAGAGTACCTGGGAGGTACAAAAACCCAATAAACTGAAGGACCGCTGGCAAGGTCGCGAGACCGAGCATGTAGCGCCATCCCGTCGGGTGCGAGCTCATGGCGGCCGCAAACACGGTCGCAAAGAACTGACCACCCGTCACGAGTAGCGTGTTGATCGACACGAGCGTGCCACGTTGTTCTACGAATCGCTCGCATGAGATGCAAGTCACATGGACAATGATGGAGGACCTGGTGGCGAAACTTCGGCAATGTACAGCGGAACTAGTAAGCACACAGAAACGAGTGAGCAACGGCGTTGAGAACAAGAGGCGTACTCGTGAGCGACGAGAGACCAAGACCAAGACCGACACTGAGCCGGCCAAAAATGAGTTCGTACTTGGATTGGGCAAAACCCATGAGCGCGCTGCCAATAGCAAACAGCACGGCCGAGATCAGAATGACGCGGCGGCGGCCCCACGCGTCGTTGGCGCAGCTCCCAGCCGCAGCGCCGAGGATCGCGCCAAAGACCGTGGCCGAGACGACGACTTCGGACTGGAACGAGTCGAGGTGGAAGTCTTCTTGGAGAAAAATGAGCGCACCCGAGATGACGCCGGTGTCATAGCCGAAAAGGAAGCCGCCGGTCGTCGAGACGAGCGTAAGAAGCTTCAGGTTGCCTCCGCGCGCCATGACGATCAAATTGGAAACTGCGATTGGCTGTATTTCCCGCGGATATCCGCCGGGAACGGCCACGGATTCGCAGACACCTGCGAAAATACGCGACATTCGGCCAATCCAACCACCTGGTACATGGCATGAAATAGTGTTTCCTCACATAGAAGAAAGCAATGTTGGCATGTACACTATTACCGGTTTTGAATCAATGACGTGCAAATAGACACGGTGCCATCGACCCACCCAGCATGACGCCATAAGCTTGACAACGGCGTCGTGTACGGCAGTGTGTAGCACCATCGAGTCCCATTCGTCTTTTCTATAGAATACGAACGCCGGTTTGCCTCTACTACGCACACCCAGGTGCTAGGATGTGCTGGTAACAGGGTACTATCCATGAAGACTAGTGACACGCCACTGCAACGTGTGCCCGTCTGCCTGTCCATGGCCCTTGATGCCATTGCCGTGAGCCGGCTTCGTGCAATGAGAGCCCAAGCGATCGACATTCCTTGACGCTGCTCCACCAGCAGCAGTACGTGACGCAATGATAGCGTTCTTGGCTAGGCTCACGGCGGCGACCTGGCTAGCTGAGAATGTTGTCGGCCAGCCACGTTAGCCAGCTCAGAACTAGTACGTCACCGGTCCGACAGGAGCGGCTACCTGGCGGCTACTGTACTGGTACGTTGCATGGGTCAATAATAAAGACCCATGTACGTTGGTCGTCGCTTGACAAAACGTTCTCAGATGCTGTTCTTCCCATTGCAGCCTTTCGCATTGCACGCCTAAGCCTTTTGCTCGAGATGACAAAGCAGCAAGAGACGGAAGCAACTGCGTGCGAGCCATTTCCGCCGCGGTGTAGTCAGTAGGACTGTAGACTCGCATTCGCAGTTCGCTAGGAGCTTTATCTCGCTGATCTCGACACCAAGTGAGATCAACGACAGAGCGTGATCAACAACGTCACCAAAGTCGCTGCTTCGTCCCTGCTTATAGCTCGTGCAGAAGACAAGAGCCGATCATAAGGCCTCGACAGAAAGCAGATGCATCAACCGCACGTTCACGGCCTGCGTTTCCTTGTGCACACAAGGGCTCAAAGCACCCTTTGCTGCCAAGGTCGCGCGAGGTTGAAGCTGGCGTTGTCAAGTGGCAATGTGGCGGATTATCCGGATTCTACGGTAAACATGGGGACCGGCGACAAGGTCCGGCGCCTGCGCGAGGAGCTCGCGGCCACGGCGGCGCGGCAGGCCGACGTTCTCTCGAGCCTCGAGCGGTATGCGACTGCGGATGCCAATGTCTCGTCGATCAAGCGGCAGATCTCTGGCGACCAGCCGCCGACCAACGCCAAGGAGGCCCTCTGGCACCACACGCAGGCGCTTCTGCAGCACCATCTCTACAGCCAGGACGCGGCGAGCATTGATGTACTGCGCAAGCAGACTAAGCATGTGGGCACCGCGATCACGGGCGCGCACGATGTAGCCGAGAAGATGACGCGCGAGGTGCGACTTCTCGGGCGCGTCCAGGAGCGCGTCAAGGCGTCCATCGAACGGAGCGATGGCATGCTGCGCGTGCGCCAGAGCATGCAGCGGCTCCAAGGATGCATGCACGAGCGCAAGTACAAGGACGCAGCGGCGTGCCTCAAGGAGCTCCGAGACATTGAAGCGCTCTCGATTCCGATCGACGTCGGCGACAAGCTGCGCATGAACAGCGCCGAGAACGACATTCGCGATGCGATCGAGCGGCAGATGAACGCAGCGCTTTACGCCAAGGACGAAGCCGCCGTCCTGCGTCTCGGCAGCATCTTTGAGCCAATGCTGTTTGCCGAAGAAGGCGTCAGCATGGTGCTGTCGTTCGTCGCGTCGCAACTCGACGAGCGTCTCGCGTCGTCGTCGCTCCAGCGCCTCTCGGTCCACGACCTCACGTCGCACTTGATCCACGTACATGTCTTTTCTCTTCTTTCGTCTCGCTCATCATTTAGCCTGCCGCCCATAGGTGTTCAACTCGGTGGCCGAGGTGACGCTGCGCTTTGAGCCGCTCATGCTGCAGTCGTTCAGCTCGGTGCGCGGCGCCGAGCGGCTCTTGAGCCGCGTGTACACTCTCGCGAGCCCGATCGCTGTGCGCATCCTCGACGCATACATTGCGAAGCGGGGGCTTGCCGACTTGGTCCACAAGGCACGGACAGCGCAACAACAACCGGACCCCAGTGGCCCCACTGCCAAGACAGCGGTCTCGTCGAAGCCCGAGAACAACGTCGACTGGAACCCGCAGCTCAACGAAGTCGCGGTGGTCCTCCAGCATTCACAGACCTACGAGCGGTTTGTACGGGCGCGCGATGTCTTCTACCTGGCCTCGTCGTCATCATCGTCGTCGTCCGCTACCTCGCTCCTTCCGTCGTTCAATGCAAGCCCGCTGAACACAAGCGTTCAGGAGCTTGCCGCACTCTACTGTGCGCTCGAAGACGTCTGCCTCACCGCGTCGACCAAGAAGGCCCTAACCACCGAAGAGATGCGCTCGATTGCGAGCGGCGCGGCATTGATTCCCGTCTCGTCGATCATTGACGAAGTGTTTTACGTCGGCCGCAATAGCGCGTGCCGGGCGCTCGCCACGGGCCACGTCGACGCGGCCTGCGGTGTCCTCAACCTCGTCGCAACGCTGCTCGAGACGACGCTGCATGACGTGATCAAGACGCGCGTCCTCGCGCTGCCGCGGGAGATGCGCGAGGCTACACCGCTCACAGGCCTCTTGACCAACTTGCAGTCGAGCACGCAGCTACGAGACCAGATCCAAACGATCGCCACTCTCGGCAAGAAGATGACGTCGCGCAACTTGAGTGCGACGACGCCACCGGCATCGACGACAACGCCTGTCTCTGGCCCGCTCAAGCCCGTGCTGGCACCGCCCGTGACGCTCAACAGCATCCACACGCTTCTTTCATACCTCGCGCAGCTGCAAGCGACGTTGGAAGTGGACGCCAAGGCGGCGTTCACCGACCCATTGCCCGCTCACATCAAGAGCTGCCTCTTGGGTATGCCTCTTTCTCTTTTGACCCTATATCAACGAGATGCTAGGCTTCGAGGATGTGGCCAAGGACTACAAGGAGCTGCTCGTGACGGCCATAGCGCACATTGCAGGCGTCTTTCAGCCCAAGCTCGCTTCGTTTCTGACGCCGATTCTCAAGAAGACGTCGTTCGACTTGACAGACGCTGTGTTTGCGGCCAACGAAGTCAACGACCCATTCGCCGCCGCGCTCGTGACGCAGCTGCGTCATCTCCTCGACCCGTACGAACAGCATTTGGCGTGCGAGACGTTCGAGCAGCTCGTGGACGCGATCACGCTCGTGGTGGCGGAGCTCCTCGAAGGGCTTTTGCTGACCAAGCTCGTGCCCTTCAACCAGCTCGGGGCCATGCAGCTCGAGAAGGACATTCGCGTTCTTGCCAACTACCTCGGTGAGAAGGTCCAGTTTAACCACGCCCATTACCGGACCTTTGGGACCCTTCGGCAATGCATCATGGTCCTCAACGTCGACGTGCCCGATGACGTGCTCGAGTTTTACGGCCGCCCGACAACACGAGGCGTCGTCGACTGGAAGCTGTCGGCCGGTCGCGTCATTGAGCTCCTCCAGGCGCGGGTCGAGTTTACGACGGTCGAGATCGCAGCGCTCGAGCTCGCATAAGGGCCATGCATTTATTGAATCAGGATCATCCAGCTGATAAAGATGTAAAAGAGCAACACCGGGTACACCGTGAGCGCCTTCTTCTTGGGCGGGACCAGCTGCGACATGAAGACGACGGACGCTAGGATAGTACGTTGAGGAATGTGGTGCGGATGGGTACGTACCGCGCGTGGACCACACAAAGCCGACGCCGACGAGGACGAGGCGGATCGTCACGTGCGACGACACGACGCGCGTGAAGAAGCACGCGAGCGTTGCAATCACGAGCGGGAAGATGCAGTAGCCCAAGACGCAAATGCTCTGGAAGAAAGAGCTAGCACATGCCCGTGTGAGCACCGTACAATAGCATGCACCGATCGAGTTGTATACATGGTGCTGCCGAGGAGCTGCGCGTTGACCGTCACGACGGCGGCGCCGACCCACACGACGACAAAGACGCTCGTAAAGACCATCGCCGACTGGTTCGCGGGCGCCGTGAGGCTCAAGAGACTAGATGCATGTACATGAGCAGATGCAGATCCTGGCCGCTGCGATCGTACATGGAGAGCGTGAGGCAGACCATGAGCGGACCCCAGAGGTCCCAGTCGCGGAGCGCTTGAAGCGTCTCGTCCGACGTGTTGCGTGGCATCAAGACCACCTTGAGCTTGGCGCCGACGAGCCGGACATCGCGCAGCTACGCCGGATGCATGAGCGCCTAGCCTCTCCTACGCCATGATCTCCATACGATGGTCTCGGACACGGGCTCGTCCAGCGTGTTCTCGCGCGTCTCATGGATGCTGCCCGACACCGCGTCTGCCATCGCTCTTGGTCGTTCGAAATGTTTTTTCTGCCAGAAGGGGTCTCCGGATACAGCGCCACCGCCGTATCCGGTATGCGTGGGCTAAAATCACGCACACTTCGCTCCCGCCACCTTGTCATCGAAGTTCAACGCTCAAACCGCAGGTTACTGTCGTCCTGGTCATCACCAGCAGCAGCTCCTATTGCAGACAGCGTCGTCCTAGCTCTGCCATAACGTATGCACAAGGATCTCGGCCACCACCAACGGTCAATACACAGCTTATTGACCCTGCCAGAATCCGTTGCAACACTTGGCGGTATCGTCACTACGTTGACGGTATTTCTGCCACGTTGACGGAGAAAACCATCGATTTTGGACGCTTTTGCACGGAACTTTAGCGTCTTCGTGCTCAGTCCTTCATCGTCATACTTGGGGCGCGATCATGGGCGGCAAGCCGACAAAGGAGAAGCAGATCGTGGTCGAAGAGGTTTTGCACCGCGAGTTTACGTATGGGACGGCTGCGTCCGACTGCGTGCAGCACTATATGCCGCCCAACTTTCCAATGCGACCGATTCTCAACACGGCGTACCTCCTCGACTGCAGCAAGAGCTGGAAGCTCATTGTGACGGCCAACACGGACCGCATGCGGCAATACGGCAAGTCGGGTATCGTGCTCTTTTACGACGAGTTCTTTTTTCGCCTCTTCCAGCGCGATTTTACGCTCGAGGAGGTCTTCCCCGACATTGGCAAGCGCGGCGAAGTGCTCGTGAAGGCCATGACGTTCATGCTCAAGAGCTCGGCCGAGAACCCCAAGCAGATCGTCAACAAGTGCCACTACCTCGGCCACCGCCATCGCAGCTTTGGCGGCGTCCGGCCGCACCACTGGGCGCAGTACACGAGTACGGTCATCGAGGTCATCATGTACTGGCTCGGCGAATACGCGTCGCCCGATGTCGGCGCGGCGTGGTCCAACATTGTGGGCTTCTTCCTCATGCACATTCTCGAGTCGTTCTTGAACGACAAGGTCGACCCGTTTGAGAGCTACCAAAACTCGATCATTAGCGCCGTCCAAGAAATCACCGCGTCCCACGACGAAGAGTCGGAGCGCACGTCCGCCAAAGCCGACCCCCCGATAGCCGGTATGAATGGTCCCACCCTCATGTAGCGCTTTGGACTAGTACGACATCAATACATGCCTCTGCACCATATAATACCGTCATGCTACAGTAGTACACTAGAGATGTGGTCTAGCTTGCCGCGCGGCGGCAGGGGTAGGGATCGTCGCTCCCGCCTTCAGTTGACGCCATCGTACATGTAGCGCGCTGTCAGCGAGCACAAATGCGAGATGTCCCGGCGTTGCATGTATCCCGCCCGCACAACTATCGACTCTGCCACCGACATACCAGTATGATCGGAGAGACTTCTGTCGAACTCGATTAAAGGGAACATGGAACCCCGCATTTCGAAGCATAAAATGACTAGCCGATACTGAGGCGCTTGCTCGAACCGCGGCGATTGATCGGCGGGGGGTCGTTGGGCCCGACGGTGTTGATGTACAATGCTGGGTTGAGCCGCTCGTTCGCACGGTGCAGCATCGCACACATGTCAATGGACGCGGCCAGCGTGAGCTGCGCGTAGCCGTCGCTGGCTTGCGCGTCGAGCGCGCCAGGCATGCGCGTGAGCTGCGCATGCACCGCGCCGAGAAGCCGATACCGCTGTGCTTTCTCGCGCACGCGGCTTCTTGGTGCGTCCTTCTCCAAGCCCTGGAGGCACTCGAGCAGGTACGGATAAAAGTCCTCCTACACACAAATGTATCGATGAGCCCGTTCGTTACTTATTCGACGGGAACGACCTCAAGCGCGCGGAACCGGCGGCGCAGCGACACTTGGTACTCGGCAAGCACTTGGTCGATGATGGCGAGGCGCAGTGCGATTTCAAATTTCGGGTACGGGTACGGCAACGTCGGGTACGGCCGCTTTGTCTCTTCCGGAACCTCTGGCTTCTTGGAGCGCCGGCGACCTCCCGGTGGCTTCTTGTCCCGTTTCTGGGCGATCTCGGGCTCGGGCAGCACGACCGGTGGCGGCTCCACGAGCTCGAAGTCGGACCACATGCGCAGCAGCTTGCGTCGGCGATACGCGGTGATCGCCACGTGCTGGCGCCAAAACGTTTGGACAAGGGTCACTTTTCGCGTAAAGATGCGAAGTCCGTAAAAGACTTTGAGCGCAACCGTCTTGATTTTGACGCTTTCGCGAAGCCAGAGCTGAAGCATCGTCGCGGCATTCGAGAGCGCGAGATGCTGCTGCGTCAGATGGCGCCAGTGCCGCGCACAGCGGCGCACCGTGGCCTGAAGCGCGGCCGCCGCCCAGCGCATCTTGACTCCGCGCAAAATGAACTGCGCGGCGGCCGCGACCAATAGCGGTGCAAGGACTTGACGCAAGGACGCTTGTAGCAAGGTGTGGTGCTTGGCGCGGGCGCGTACTTCGCGCCGATAGGCTGTCGTCTGCGCTTCAACATGATCCGAATATTCTTGGAGCCGGCGTTCGCGGTTGATAACGCAGTCTTCTTCGCGCTGCTCCCGAAGTAGCCGCCACTCGTCGTGGCGCGCCCGTAGCAGCTGCATTCAATGACGTACGATGATTCTATATCGAGTAGTGCAGTGAGTACCTCGGGCTGGACCGCCGCTTGTTCGTTGAACGTCAACACGCAGGATGGCGACCGCCGCTCATCGTGCAGCTTGCGTACATGTGCCGCGTGGATGGCTTCGACGTGGGCGTATACGTCGCCGACGTGGTCGCCGAGGATTGGAATGAGCTTGGCCAACATCGGCTCGCTGTCCGAGGTCGGCGGCGGCGGCGCGTCACGGAGCGGGGGGATGTGATTGGCTTTTCGCGTTGGTGACGCCCGGCGCGGCACCGGACGGTACGGGAGCGGTACGAGCCGCGCTGGCGATGGCGGGCGGTCGTCGAGCTCGGGGACAGTGTCGTCACTGCGGTGCCGCCATGGACTTGTGACCTTGGGAACCGTAAACACTAGCAGTCGATGACATAATACACTTTGTCAAAGCCGGAGCGCACCGAGGAGGTCGTCGTCGTCCGCGACCTCAAGGCGGCCGTGCGGCGTCTCGGGCCGTGGCACCAAGGCGTGCATAAATAAAATTGTAAAAAACTAAGTCACTACCAAACGACGCCCGTTTCACGACAGTTTCATTTCGGTTTCACGCACAAGAAAAAGTTTGGAAAAAAGGTTTTCGTACTAGTGAGTTACTAGTTAATGCTTGCTACTGTATTTCCTACTTGGGGTCGGCAGGCTTGGCATGACCCTCGGCTTTCGCATCTTCGTGGTGGCAGTCCTTGGTGTGTGTATGCTCCTTGGTAGGCGTCGCGGCCGGCTCGGGCGACGGTTCCTTCTTGGCTTCTTTCGGCGCTTCCTTGGCCGCCTCCTTCGGTGCTTCCTTCGCAGCTTCCTTGGGTGCTTCCTTCGCAGCTTCCTTTGCAGCTTCCGTTGCGGCTTCCTTCGGGGCTTCCTTTGCAGCCTCCTTCGGGGCTTCCTTCGGGGCTTCCTTCGCGCTCTCTGTGGCAGCTGCTTTCGGGGCTTCCTTCGCGCTCTCTGTAGCAGCCGCTTTGGGGGCTTCCTTGGGGGCTTCCTTCGCAGCTTCTTTCGGGGCATCTTTGGCGGCTTCTTTGGGGGCTTCCTTGGCCTCCTTGGGGGCTTCCTTCTCTTCCTTCTTGGGTTCATCCTTGCCTTCCCAGAGCGACTTGAGCTGCTTGAACTTGTCTGCGTCGTCGCAGCTGCTGCCCATAATCTCCTTGGACTTGGCAAACTTGGCCGGGTCGTACGCAGCGTTTTCAACCGAAGCAGAGGCGCCCATGATGATGCTAGTAGAGCTTGTTGCTGGTCGATGAAATCGGATTCTGATGCTGCGACGGCCCGCGATTCCAGTCGGCGGTTGCTGCTAATCATAGACGGGGCTGGAAATAGCCAACCGCCAAGGAGTTTCGCGTGCTTTGGATTTGTTTTAAACCTAGTGTATCCATTATCGTTGAAAACACACGACAATGTGTTTTAAACACGCTGAGACCGGGCGGCATCTATTTATAGCGATGGTGCGCCCCGAAGAGCGCGAGCGCCGCGCGTACAAGGACGCACACGCCGCGGCGTTTGCGAAAACGCGGCACTTTCCCGCGCTCTCGCAGCTGCAAGCATCAGTTGAGAATGTCATTTTGCTGCAAGACTGCACGCCCGTGACCGCGGTCGTGACGCCGCGCGCGTCACCCGCCCATAGCCGCCTCCACGCCCCCGACGCGGTGCGAGGCTGCGTCCATCATATTGACCTGATACTAGTGTCGACTAGTTTGATCAAATTTTTGAAAACCAAGTGCCGATGCTGACAGCCTTTCGACAAGCCGTGCTGTGCAAGCACTCGAACGCCCGGGACGAGCGGCATGAATCGCCACCACCGACGACCAGTGGCTTTATCAAACCCCCCAAGGTGATTGTTGACAGGAAGAGCTAAAGTTGACTGAAATCGAGTAGGCGCCGTTTGTGACCAAGAGCGCGGCGGATGCCAAAGCGGCCATTCGCCATCCGTGCGAGTACGACTACCCGACGGGACTGCACACGCATCGGGAGCGCGTGCCCAATCGCCACGACCTCTCGCTGCAGGTGGACATGTAGGATTGTGAGCAAAATGGAACATGCATTTTGCATAGGAGGACATGCGACGGAGAGCGGGTCACGTGTGGCGACCCTCGAATGCAACGACGGCGAAAAAGTCGATTGAAGTCGACTATTACGTCAACTCTGCGTTGCCGACGGACCCCTTGATTGATCGAAAAACCATCAAAGCCATTGTGGCGCGCAACCCCGTCGTACAACGCCGTCCAAAGCTATAGCTATCGCGGTAGTCGCTACATTTAACACACGGTCGTTTTGGTGCTTGCTTTCACAGTGTCGGCGACGACCATGGGCATGGCGTGGAAGGCAAAGCTATGTATGGAACCCATCTAACACATTTACCAAACGAGCGGTGCCCACAAGAAGTGGGCTACTCGTTGCGCCTACAAACGTTGCTTCGTGTCGCCTTCCTAGTGGCCGTAGTGGTGGGCTAACGATACTCGTAGCCATTAGCGAGAGAGTCGGGTTTGTTGTTACGACAAGACTGAGCATGCAACGAATCCTAGATTCAATAGCGACCACCTCGTGAGTTCAACCGATTAACATGCAAGCCACAAAAAATAGTCGTTGATTTCTCAGCCACTACACCCATGAATGCACATCGTCGCTGCGCCGCCAGTGCTGCAAGAGGCGCTACATCGTCATTGATACGGAGCCTGCATGGGATGAGGCTACCTCTTCGCCAATCGCAATGGCACTGCGCAGCTCAGGCGAGTATGCGGTTTCTGGCCACCATGAGTTTTGAACCACGTCGTCCCGTGTCCACGAGCGTTTCCGACAGCCGACCGTCGTCGCCGTCAAGAACGGGTTGCACTCAAAGTAGAAATCCACACCGTACCAGTCCACCTGAAGAAAATGTTTACAGTGCCACGTGGACTATTTCAAATGAAATACCAGGTCGTGGCGGGCTTGGAGGCGATCAAACTGGTGCAGCACCTAGAGACTTGCTGTAAGCATCGAACCTGGTCATTGCCGTCTACCGTCGACAGGAACGGCTGGCCGTGCCACATGAAAGGCACGTAGTGCTGCGCCCCGGGGCCCGCAAGGGCATCTTGAAGTGCAACGACGTATTCAATGCAAGCGAGGGTGCTCTCAACAACCGCAGGAGCGAGCTGCGTAAATGCATCGAACGCGTGGATCTTCTCTGCAAAGATACGAGCCGACCTATCTCTATATATCACGCGCCTAGCGAGCGCTCGGACACGTACGTATACAAGGTCGAACAGGCGTCGACTTTGGCAAGAAAGCATGCAAGCACCTTTTCATATTGCAAGATGGACGCAATGACGTCGGCTTCAACCGGTGTCAGCGTGCGTGGTCGCTCGGGAGGCAAGTCCTCGGGTCGTGGGGCGCGTCGTCGAAGCAGTGGTTCGCTTCGTGTCACCGAGATACTCGTCGAGCATTGCGTGTGAATCGGAGGAACAGTCCATTTGGGTTTCATCGTGTGGGATCGCATGGCCTCGGAGAAGCGGTCGACTTCGTCTTGGACGGGCACCGGCGTGAGCCATCGCGTCGTGACGTGTTCGAGCATTGACTTTGGGGTTTCGAGGCGCGTGACACCGGGGCGGCGAAGGTAGCGACCTTGCACGCGCACGACTTTTTCCCGCGCTCCGTGGTCGTATTGCAGATCGTACAGCGGTGGCTTCGTTGCGTGGATGTACAGCACCTACCATTGATTGTCATCCTGTACCCAGACGCGCGTCCTACGTGGGCTCGCGCCCAGACATCCTGGACCTCTGGCACAGCATAAAGGTGCTGACTTGACTTGCGGAAGCACGACTCGATGGCCTCCCCCGCCTATCACAGTTGGGACCTTATAGGTTGGACGCAACAACATACCTGATACGGCGACAACGCACGCTTGTTGGCAAAGTGCACGTCGAGTTCGGCGCCGCACCCGCGACGTAAGAGCGCCCGCGTCTTCTTTGGAACGTCTTGTAAAACCTTCGTACTCAACGCATCTGGGTCAATGACTGCGGGCTGCTGTGGGACCGGTGTATTGCCTCGAATGTACACTTCCTACGAAAAACATGAGCAAACGTTGTTTTTGTCGGACCGTACAGGGGCAATGGAGAGAGGCACGGACGGCATTGTATGCTTGGCGCACTCGAACACATGACTGTCGACGTGCGCCAAAGCAAGGGTGCACGCCTTCTCGAGACGGTCATAGTGCTCGGGCTGTCGGCGCAAGACGGTGAGGGCGCAGGCCGTCGCCCACATGCCGGGGGCAACCCCGGGGGGCACGGGGGGGATCGCACCATAGAGACAATCGGAGAGTGCGTCCGTGAGCTTCCAGCGTCCGTCACTTTGCTGGAGCAAGAGCAACACGTCGAGGGTGTCATCGGGCGGTGTGCGGCGCGGCGGCGGCGTCGCTGGTTTGGCATAAACGCTCTCGAGAAGAAACTTCTTGTTGCCGATAGAGAGGTGACCGGCTGCAAGCGCGGCCTTGGACGGGCGTGACTGAACGAGCGCTTCATAGAACGTGTCGAGTGTATTAGGCGTCCCCGGTCCCCGGTGCGTCGTCATTTCTCAGTTCGAAAACCTTCGGTTACACGAGGGGCACAGCTATCCCGAGGCATCCGGATACCATGTATTATCTGGCTTCTCAATGTATCAGGATTCCGGATACAGATGACATGGGTCAATGAGCATGAGAATCTCATGCTCATCGACTTGATCATCTGATGATCAAGTCGACCCACTGTGCAATTTGTATCAAGTCGCGATCGAGCAACTGTGCCGTCTTTGGACTTTTGAAGTACACATCACTTTTCATTTTCATTGCATCACCCACTTCGTCATGTCCGAACTATCATCGCTCATATCCTGTGCCATCAGCGCTGGTTTTGCTACATCCTTTATCCTCTACAGCTTAATCTCGGCTTTGGCAAAGCCGACCTCAGACAAATACCAGGACGTGGAAAACCCCAGTGCCTTCCACCCGTGGACCAAGTACGACGAACTTACGGCCCCGTACCGAGACAAGCGAGCGCGCACGTCTAAAGGTGGCCTCCTACCCGCCGAGCACAAGAACCCTGTCGCTGCGACCCTCAACTTGCTGGCGGACTGCTTGGAGGTGTATTTGACCGAGATTGACGGTCCGACGCACCCGCCGCAGTTTGTCCGTGCTTCGCTCGTCGTTTTGGACCACTGCGCGTTAACACCAAGCGATGCGGCGATCGT